TACTTTTTGGATATCCTCTACGTCTCTACCACGCACCTTTCCACTGTATTCTAGCCTGATAGGCGATTCCTCCCTTTTTCAACGGGAGTACTTGATATTGTGAGAACATTCAAGCAGGGTGAAAATCGGTCGAGGAATCGTCAACGCTCGTCGAGGATTTTCGCCTGTTCAGTCACGCTCTCCGCGCGGACATTCACTCTCGCCACGCGCGAGCCGTCTGTGCTCTCCGCGCGTACATTCACTCTCGACACTATTCTCACACAGTACAGAGCATGGTCGAGGAATTCTCGCTTCCCTCTATTCGCCCTACATTCAAGTGAAGTAAGCAGCAGGCCATCCAGCTAGAAATAATCCGCGGGTAGAGTGAAACTTCGCAAAGTGAAATTTCTGGATCTCAAAACTCACATAAATATAATAGGTATACCTATGTTCGCTGAGGCATATACACAATTTATCAACACATACATATCCAGTGGGATTACCTATTAATCAGTGGTTTGTTTTCAGGCTCAAGACCAAGGAATACCACCGCGTTCGGCGAACATGACCCTTATTCCTGCATGTATCCGACTTCAATGATAATGCGCCGGTGTTTGACAGCCCGACTTATGAGGTTGAGGTCAGTCTCTTCCACAGCCGTTACGGTAATCAAGCTTTTCGTCTCAGGGCCCTATGTCGATTACATTAAGGTACCTGAGAACTCGCCATTGATGACAGCTGTTGTGAAAGTGAAAGCAAGAGATGCTGACTCGAGGGAGAACGGGAAAGTGCTCTACAGGATTACCAATGGATCCAGCGTGAGTGTTTGCAATTGATCTTGATTTCTTCAAAGATAGCTTGCCGATTTCTTAATCAATGGTGGAAATTGGCGATTTTCCCTGCCACCGGACCAGGGTCAACCCTATGTTGCTACAAGTAGCAACGGGGGGTCGTATTTTGATGAGTTTGTAGAGGGGGGTCGTACTTGCTTCGGTTGTAAGAAGTTGCATGTGATGAGTGGGGAGCGGCGCGGGAGAAAATTTGCCGTTTCAGCGCGCGTATATATCTCCCTAGAAAATGGAGCAGTTGAAATATGGGTAAAATATATGGAAATTGTAGGGAAATTGTGCTTGGGATTTTTGGCGGTTTTCATGGTAGTATATCCCCACCCCTCCCGCTCGACGCGTAATTTTTTTTGAGGTAAAAAATTGCTTTGCAGGGGGGGGGTCGTAAAAACTTTTCGAAAAGTAGCAGCGATAGGATCGACCCTGCACCGGATCCGCGATAGGTCCCTGATAACATGGTGTGACTATAAACACTGCCTAGTCCAGGTTAGGATTTGCTGTGGTGAAATGGGTCATCCCGGTGACAACTCGTCCGCTTAGGGGCGGAGCTTCCACTTGGTGTTACCTGCTCATCCAAACGCAACTAGCACGTGTTTTTGTTCGCTTGGTCTGCGGACTATGTTGACATGGTCCTTTGACCAAGTGCAATGATCCCCTGCTCCTGTCTGCGCTCTCTTCACTGGATAGCATATCATGAGTACCCCGACAGCACGCGCCAGCGTTTGCTACACTTTAGATGGCTAGCTTACCCACCCTCGAGCCTCCGAAGACTTGGGCGGTGCCCTCACCCTTCTCTTCCAACATCGTTTGGTGCTGGGACAGCCACCACTGTCTATCCGCTCCCGCTTCAAGATTTCGTGATAGGATATGACAAAATTTGAGAATTCCAGCCCTTTCACCCTAATATTGGATCTAATGGCACCCACACAAATTTTTACTCATTTAGATTTGCCACTGTTGGTACTTATGCACTGCTGAAGTTTACTGAGAGCAAATGTGTCTTTTTTGCTTGGATATCGATCATTTCTACTGGCTTTCAGGCGTTTGGTATCGATGAGAAGAGCGGTGTGATTTATACCAATGAGAGCATTGATCGTGAAGTTCAAAGTGTATACACTGTTACTGTGACGGCACAAGATCAAGGAGAGGTAAGCTATCAGAGTGATTAGCTCAGTGAGAAGAATTTCCGTCATTGTCTGAAGATTAGCCGCAAGTTCGATCACGCTTGAAGCTGCTTATTGATTTTCATAGAACTTGATCGCATGCCTAAGGCTGCTATCAAAGTGGTGTAGTGAACAGATGTGCAGGAAAAGTTGAGCTTTTCAATATCCTTCCCCCCCCCCCCCCAAATTGTTTCCGTGACCGTCTGAAATAGACGTTGGAGGCTGCCCTGTTCTCCACTTATGTGAATATGCAGAAATGAGATAGCTACTGGATGAAAGGGTAATGTAATAATTAATTCCTAATGGCGTGGAATGGTATGCAATTTTGAATTAAACATTGGTAAATGTCCTTAGCTTTTTGAGTTCACCTAGACTCGCCTGGAAAGGCATGC